TAATAATAGTAAAAAATAAAAAATAAAATAAATATGCATGGTTAATGCAGGACTATGCTATTACGCCTAAATGCAAAGTATTATAAATATACAGGTATATTGGTATATAAATATTTATATAATTATATTTATAATAGACAGCTATGTTTTTAAGTAATTGATTAATATATACTATCTGCACCAAAACATAACTTATTTAGGTAGGTAACAAATAACAAATAACAATAGTGTTAAATGCATTTTAATTAATTGGGAGAATTTTAATTTTTCCTGGCTCTCAAATTTAATACCCAGTGTATACTGTATTCACCAACAAATGTTAAATAGAAAATCAATCATTTCATAGAATAATTAAATAATCATTTAAATGAATTTTRAAACAAAAAATAATGAAACAAAAGAACCGCCATGAAACATAATAAATTATAAAAAAAGTCAATATCATTAAAAGGGAATTATATTTCAAGACTAGTAGGTAATCTAAGGAAATTATACAAATGAAGAACCATAATTTATAGGAAAGTTATAGTATTTAGAATCATAATTCACAATAAYTAAAAAATAAAAGTTTAAAATCATAAATGTATATAATAATTGCTTAAGTTGTATATAATCGAGAATTTGTATTAATTTAGTGAAAACTTATAATATTAGTTTTAGCTTTGACATTTAGTTAAAATATACAATAAGGAGCTTAAATATTAATTTTTTATAGAAACAATATTTWAAAAAATGTAGATAACTGCAGTACATTTGGTTAACTACCTACCTTTGTCAGTTAAATTGTATATTACACTTTAAATTTTGATTCTAATTAAATCAATTTTGTAAATATGTATTTTTTAGACTGCACATTATTTATAGATTATAATTACCTACTGGCGGTACACCACCATTTTTAATATCACAAAATAGTGAGTTCTAATGGCACAAGTGTAGTACAACTAATTGGAAAATAAATGTATTCTCTCCTTCAGATCTTTTACTGTTACCAAAATAATTATATATTATACCTAGGTACTCAATATTTTTAATTTACTATAAAACATACATTTGCATCTCTAAACATATTAGCTTTCTTGAATTAGTTTTTGAAGCAATAATAATAAAATTAACAGCTTATAATAATTGAAACTGATTTTATTAAAAATTGAAAAAGATGTGGATTACTTTTGTGTTTAATTAACAGAATGTTTTAAATAAAATATTAATTAAATATGAAMAAATATGAATTCTTGCAATATATACACTAAGATACCTACTATACTAATAACTATCAGGCACAGTACTAGAATTTTTCCAAAGGGATGATGAGTGAAGCAGACAGATTTTGTACATAGACTAGAGGTATTTAAAATACTACAGTGATTAATCAGATGAATAATTTTATTTATCTTAATATAACATACCTAGCTATAGCAGACTAGATTTAGTATTTTGAATTAGTTAGACTATAATATAGTAATATAGTTGGAGACACATATTATATTACAYCCATATTAAATTATTATTTATTTTTATGAACAAGAGCCCACACGTTTAAGGGTCACTCGACTGTATATTTGACGTGCAGGTAGGTTGTAGGTATATATTATATTATATCACCTTATCTTAATTGAATCATCAATAATTATTGTACCTTTAGTACTTCTTATAGACTACAGCAGTAACCAAAACCAACAATAATTAACTAGTTTTACAAAGATCAACACAATAATTTTTATCAAATATCAAATATTTGGTATTTTCATACTTTTTTCCTAACTTATGAAGAGGATCCTTCTTATTATTATTGTAATTTCCAAGTGTTTTTATTTAGCCAAAATATTTTTATAGATACTTATTAAAAAATAACATAAAGAAGTCAAAAAATCTTATACCAATAATTATCTCAAAAAGAGTCAAAATATTTTTTAAATTTAATTGTGTATAGAAAATAATAATATTGATATTCGGKAAAAATTTCAGGTGTTTACATAATTAAGCAATCTTAATTTATTTTTGTCTCAAATCATTTTTGTCTTGATTTTTATGAATTCCTGAATTTGATAGTTCATGAAATTATTATTTTTTTTCATAAAATCCAGATTTTGACGGTTCTTGAAAATTATTTATCTCATAATTGAATTTCCTGCATAAGAATTTTCCTATGAAATACTATTTTTTTTTTTCTCTAATATATAATTCATGCTATTAAACAATCCCAATTAATTTTTATCCTTATAATTTTATTTTCTGAATTTGACGTGCCTCCGACTCTCACATCTCGCAGAGTGATCTTTCGATAATTTTTTTTTATATATAAAAACACTAAAATACTTCTTACAGTGATTTTTTGATTTAGTAGAAAAAAAAAATGAAGTTGTGGTCATATTCAAATCATATTATAAGAACCTCTTTGTAACTAATGGCCTTTGTTGTCGATGTTATTTTTTGCGATCAATAAAAAAAAAATCATATTAATACATTAAAACCACTGAGACCTGTATAAAACAAACACTTATGGAACCAAAATAATTGTTTGTTATATAGATACAGATTTCCGTGTTTGTATAGATTATGTCAGATCAATAAAATAGCTATTACTGAAACAGTTGTCTCAAGAATAATCCTCTCTTTTATTTCGATAGTAACATTTTTAGACCAACAAGCTAGRAAAAAATTATATACCGGTACTAATACATTTTCATTATAAAAATAGTCAATAGTCAATACCTATTAGGTAAATTCAAGAATTTGAAGGTCTCCAAACCTCATAATTTAATTTTAATTTCTAATAAAATGTATATATTATACAATACTGTTCTTAGATGTTGCTTTCAGAATATTTGGTATTGATTGTGGTTTTGTAGTTTTTGGACTTTAAAAATTTCTCCATACCTCAAATTTAATTCTGAATCAAAGTTTGTTTTCATCATTGATTATTTAAACATAAAAGTCATTATTACTTTTTTTCTTTTACTTTAATTTCATTGCTAGCTAAAATTTTAATAATTGAAAAATTGAAAAAGCAAATAATAAAAAAAAAAATGATATTTCAATTTATTGTTTTACTATTAATATTTTCAAATATTTATGGGAGGTGGAAAATTTGTTATATCCTCACACTAAACACCTTACAAATTGTGTATATTTCATGTATGTTGTTTTCTGTACATAATTTCAAAAGTATAGGTTGTACATAAGGTCAAAAATTTGATTTTTTCAGTCCTAGTTTATAATAACTGAGATAAAATAACAAAAACAGCAGAAAAGTATAAATGGTTGAGCTACAACAGTTTTTAACAAAATCAGTATTTAAGAATTCAGATTCAGAAARTAATAGATGTAGATTTGACATTTTCACTAAATACATTATCACAATTTAAATTTAAAAAATGTTATTTGAATTGTCATCTAAAATATCAAATCACTTTCAAACAACATTGTTCCTATAATTGCCAGTCTAGTAAAGTATTTGAATACTTGTATTAAAATACTTTTTGGTATTCTAAAAACAAGATTTTTAAAGTATTCTGAATACTTTTTAAAAGTTTTTTAACATCATATTAACACTTGTATTTAAATACCACATAGTTCGTTTTATTAATTATTTTTGACAACAATTTGTCATCAATAAAATTAATAATATCTTTGTTGAAATAATATTAAATCAAATTAATCTGTAATCTTAACTCTAAAAATGTTATTTAATATTTATTATAGCATGCTATCAAAGATAAATGTTTATCTTATTGACAAGTCTATATAATTATATATATATATTTATAAGAAAAAAACATGTTAAAAACAGGTTAATAGATTAAAAACAGTAAACATTTTGTATAGAAAAAGTAGGTAATTTTGAGGTTTAAAATTTAAAAAATGCTACATCYTATTTTATGTGGGTACAGTATTGGATTTCATTTTAAATAATTCCATATTAGTAGTTAATACTACTTTTTATTTTTTTTTTGTTTTGTAATTTAATTGTATCAATAATTGTGCATTAACTAATAGGGTACATGTTAAATGGTATCATTCATCATACTATGTGAACAATGTTAAATAATACTAACGTACTATGCAGTAATAATCTGTTAAGAAACAATAAAACGCAAAATGCAATTTATTATTACTTTCTAAATTTATGAAGCATGCAACAAGTTTATGGCTTATCATTAATATGCCATCTCTATTGATAACATGGCTCAACTTTATTGCTTAATTAAAAAGTTTTATAATCTTACATTTGTTACGTTAAGTTTTAAACAGGAATTAAAAATTATAGTTATTCTACATAACTTATTTTCAAAACTTAGGTATTGGGTTATTTGTCAGTGTATCGTGAAGTGGTTGKAGAATCAATGCTTTTGATCTTTGTATGTAATCCGTCATCTATATCTTCAGAATCATTGTCAGCACCACTGTCTATTTTCCACTCGTCGTCACCTAAAAATTAATAATTCATTCTTAAGTTTGTTAGTTTGCAGTTATAATATTTATTAAAAATTCGTACTCGTATCTGACATCTTGGAAGTAACTTGTTCAGAATTTTCAATAGAGTGACTTCCTTCTACTTTTCCTAAACCTTTTTCAAGTTTGTGAGCAGGACTGCCAGGAACGTCAGGAATAAACTCACATATTTCATGGCCTTTAGAATCATTGTTTTTATCATCCTATAATTAATTTAATAGCATTTATATAACTAGTTAAAATTTCCAGAAAAAATGTAATGTAAAAAAAGTTATTTGTTATAGTATTTGCTATACCTTTATAAAAATAAAAAGTAATTAAAATCATGTAATTTACTAAATTATAATGTATAGTTAGATATTACAAGTTCTAATTGCTTACATTCAAAATATTCTCTCCGTGTGACATAAGAAATGCTAATTCTTTATCACAAATAACGTTGCGTTTAACTTTAATACTAGGAGTAGACACAACGTTARCTTGTTTYGGTTGATTTTTTGCTTTTGTTTCATCAATAACACTTGAAAAAGCAGGCTTAGAGTTTCCAGAATTTTCTCCTCTGGTCTTTTTTAATTCCTAACATTTTAAAATGAAATCAATAAATATCAAATAAATTCAAGAAAATATAATTAATTTTAATTTGATCTTACAGCAATTATATTAGTGTTTGTCAGTGATTCAAATGGGTCATCACCATATTCAGCATATTTAAGCAATACTTGGTCTATGTCTGTACTAGCATACTGGAACAACTTGTTGGACTTGTTGAAAACAATCACTGCTACTTCACAATCACATAATACGCTTAACTCGTAAGCTTTCTTCATGATACCGAATTTGCGTTTGTTAAATGTCACCTATACAATTTGATAGTTTACATAAAAAAATTAATGTAGACATTTTTAAAATTATAATACTACATACGTGAAGGTTTCGTTTGTCCGTGATTTTGGAAATATTAATTTTCTTGCGTCCCATGATATGGATGATTAATAATGACAATTGATTATTTTAATTTAGTATTTAAGGTTCAGATAATTAAGCAATCTTTTAATTGAGATTTGCATTCAAATATAAAAATTGGAAATATCAAACAATAATATTAATACAAATAAAAAGCTTTGTGGCAAYGAATAAAAATATAAAATACCAGGGGATTAAGGAATGACTGTGTGAATATTAGCCAAATCGGATGACTAGGTATGTAATTGAAAACGGTGGCAGTAAATCTTTCAGTAAGTCATAACTTGAGTAAACAAACGTATAAACATAACTAAATAAATAGGCGTTGGGGCATGTCGGCTTCGGCTTAATCGTTTTGCACACGAAGTATGSCCCAGAGGCACAGACTTGAAATAAACGAGATAATCAAAGAACCAATCATAAAATATTACTATCACAGTCTTAGAAGATAAGATCAAATAGTAACCTACCACTTATAAAACACTACCGGTTAAAATATTTTGAGGTTGGAAAGTTAAGCTTAAACAAAGAACAGCCCGGCAAAAACAAAATTCATCCAAACTATTGAGATTGGTTTATTATATTATATTATTATGTTTTATTTATGTTATATCGGTTTAAATAATGRTATATYAAATAATAATTTTTATTATATGTCATCTTATTTAAGGTTAGTTCAAAATGTTCAAATATGTACAATACCATAACCTTAAAAAGYCTGTAAGGCAGCGCTTAATTTGACGGTGGTAWTATATTGAAATGAATTCGCAAAGTGGAATGTTGATCCAACCATAGATAATAAAGAATGAATCGGCCAATTTGTGTTTATCATACAAGAACCACGATTACATATTGTATATTATTATTATTATTTTTACCATTATTTATTCTTTATAAGCAACGTGCAAGTCGACGTTAATGCTACTGGTACTGGGTTGATAAATGTTAAGTTCTTTTATGATCATTTGATTTATGATTATCATAAAAATAATAAGTCAACATTGAAATTTCCTTATTATTTTAATTTCGACAATTAAGATTTAACATTTCCCATAATCGTTTTTAATTCATTGATTTTATTATTAGATATTGTTAGTAATATATTGTATAGCAATGAGTAACCGGATGTGTTGTATAGTTGATTGTAATGATGCTTAAAAAAATTGTTAAGATGTGATATTTTACAGTTTTCCAAACAGACCAGACAAAAAATATTTAAAAGAGCGTTGGGTAAAAGATGTTAAATAATTAAAATAAGTAAATTATTATACATTTATTTTAGTTTAATTTATTTATTTAYATTTAAAAAAAATACAATATTTATAAATTATTTTA